CATATATACATATGCCTATATAATCTCGCGCGCAATGCACAATTAAATTATTTTAAGTACAAGATTATTAAAAAATTACTAGTTAAAAATATATATGTTGTTTCTATATTATATAGACTTATGAATTAGATCAAATTGGATCAAAATCATTATCTCATCGGTTGTTTTATATAGTAAAATTATGTAATTGCTTTCGCAAGGACATCACTACGCCGACAAATTTATCATTAATCTTCCTTTAAAGTCTTTGTGATCTTATGTTGTAGAGAAATGTTAGAGAAACTTTCTTCTCTTCTCTTATGCCTACAGAAAATATCTTTTTCGTGCAATTTTTCACGTCAAAATTTTTGGAGCTTTCGATCATTAACATCAAAAAATAAGAATTTTACTATTCTATTTTTTCTCGTAACGTCTCTTTTTGTTTTTTTTCTTCTTCCTTTTCTTCTCTACTTTTTTCTCAATGAGAATCGACACTTTTCTCTTCTCTATTAAGATTCATAATTTTGCACAAGAATGTAAAATTTTATAACAATATAAATAACGTTTTTTGATAACGCATAAGTTTTCGAGAAGCTGTGGCGTACCAAACGAGTTATAAAATGTTATATAAGGTGCAGTGCATTTGTGTACGCGGTCAAAATAACTGTTGAACGTAAATTCTTGGTAAAAAAAAATAGACAAATATTAGTGGCAAATAAATATAATGAAAAACTTTCGCAGATACAATTCTCTCAACGTAATTTCTCTCAAAATGAGATAGAATTGAATTTATTGGTACGAAAGCCGAACTAATATAAGTCGTTCAACGATTGTTGATAAATTGCATGATTAATGTACTCGATCATTTCCCTCGGCGATTTCATTTATTGTTTGCCACGAGTTAACATTTCATTATCGCGATCCCGAGACTCCAGTCGGTGCTCAATTAGAGACTGTGGTAATTAGAGGTTAAAACAACTTTTCTCAACTATTTTTTTTCCACGCGTAAAGCAGATTCAATCACGAATATGTGCTCATAGCCTAATAGTTGCGGTAATCGAGCGATTGCTTTTAATTACGTTTATGCTTGTGAGTTAACTTAATTCATTGTTATTGTCATGCACCGTCATTGTATCAATTATAACAAAATGTCACAATTATGACCAAGGGAAGATGAATGCGGAAACGTAGGAAACGTTTGCTTATGAGCGCTGTTCGACGAATATATATATGGTTCATGCTCGTGATACATTTTAATTATAAAATATATTAATATTATTTCCACTTATATTATTTTATAAAATAAAATATTTTATTTCAATAATGATGTAGAAAATAGGCTCGTAAATCAATTTGTTTTCTTTACTTACGTGTTCTAATATTATCTTTCGCATCTGTTTTCAATTTTGAGATTGCATGAGATTGATTTCTAAGAATCAAATAGCTATCAAAATTATTAAGTTGTAATTCTTTCTCATATTTCGAGCTATCGATCGAGAAGCGCAATTTCCGCGATCTCGTGCTACGTTACAGCAATGATACTCGCATCAATGATATAGTAAAGGTTAAGGGTAATCCTTGCTTAATGTGACTCACACTTTGGGCTAAAATGTGTTTTAGCCCAAAAACTATAACATGCGTAAAACTATAATATAAAATTATATGATTCGATCGAACGCTCGCAATAATAGCGCATTGAAGGTGTATAAATTATATAAATTTTACACCTATAACTTGGAACTCTATTGCAATAATGGAAAGGCTTAAAATATCCTGAATGTCTTACTGTGTCGAATGCAAAAGCGATTTCTGTCGTTAGCAATGTCGAGTTACATATTATACTGTTCGATGATGACTCGGAAGGTAGGCATTCGATTGTAGCGTAGGACTAATCCAGAGAGGAATTTCGAAAGAGAAGCTCAAAAGTGTTGTAAACTCGTATGTAAAAAAAAAGCGAAAAAATTGACAGAGATTCATCAAAATGATATTAGCGTGATTTTAATTTCACAATTATGTATTTTAGAACGTAGTACATATAACATATATATAGTTTCTGCTAGCTATTGGTTGTTGGTTGCGCGAATGGTTGCCCGCGTGTCATCGGGAGATGTAAAGTAGGTACTTGAAATCTATTGCAAAGCATGAAGAGTAACGTAACATCCTGCATGATTCTTCGACTTTCTTTGATTACGTGGCGCATCTATCTACAGATGTGCTCTATAGTGGCAACTTTAGGTTCGCGTAAAATCTCGATCGCGAGAAAGCGAAAGTTCGCGGAGAATCTAAGCGATACGGACATCCGGATGGATGATCTAACGCGAGCGCGAATTGATGATCACCCGATGGAATTACGCTCGTGTGAAAGGATATTTGAGCTTGCTTTTACTTGAGACCACGGTAATAAAGAAGGACATCAAAACATGTTAAATAATTGTACATTGCGCAAGAAGCGAAATTTCAGCTAAAAGGTGCTGTTCAAGCTTAACTCGAAATTTAAAAAGTCCACAAAAGATGATTATAATGCATCAAATAAAGTTTTATAGCTTTATTTGAAAAAATCGTAAAATAATCATCGATTGTATGTAAAGTGGAATATTCGACAGCGCCGCCGTTTTTCAAAGAGACGAACTAAGAAAGATGCGCTGTACGAGTAAAAGTATCATGACATATTGCAGTGTAGCAAGAAGAAAGGTAAACTCGATTCCGAACAAGCCCACTCGACCATGACAGATTAAACCGCATCAAAATTAAATCTGTCCGTATAAGAACATTCTCAATAGCGAGGTCGTTTGTTCGCCATTCGAAAATTAGTCTGAAGTCATCTCGTATAGAAAGTGGATCCTTTCATTTCCTTTCATTGTAATTGCCACTATGACCATCGATTATATCTACACAGTATTTTGCAGTTAATAAGTAACTGTTATTTTTGCGTAGTTCGATATTATTATATTTTTAAACGTTATATTTGAACGATATGATACGATTTCGATATTTATTACTATACTAGCAATACTTCTGTTTCTGTTTCTAAACTGATTCCTTTTCGTTCATTTAATTTTGACGTCTTATGAACTGTAATGCTTTTATCAGATCAAAAATTAATGAACATATTTTATTTTGCTATTAAAAATAATAGCTATATACGGAAACCGGAAGAATTATGATATAGAATTATGATATATACACTGAGAAAAAAATGTCGTTAATTTGACTAAACTCGTTTAGTTGTAGTGATTTGTTTAATGCAAATATTAATATATTTAAATCAAATATACGTGAGTAATATTAAGAAATTCTGAATTTATTTCAATATAATATTTTTTGAATTAACAAATGTTAGCTTGACAGCCCGTGACCGCTGCATTTAGTTAAATCAAATAATATTTCTTTGAATCAACGATTTTTTTTTCTCAGTGTATTAATTTTGCACACACACACACACACACACACACACACACACACACACACATCATAGATGGTATAATAAAATTTAAGTATATCTAAATTCGCTGAATATTTGCCGAAGACTTTTTAAAGTAAAATAGTGTAAAATTAATAGAGAATGTTTCCAGCGTATTAATCTCTTTCCCGTATATCCCATGTATGTACACTCACTCTTCGTTACGTAGCAGCGAGTCGAGATGAAGAAGATTGCGGCAACTTATATCTCAGAGACGTAATTAGAACAAGGCTAAAGGATAGCGGTGAGCGATCGTGCTATTGGTATGTAGGTGGCGGATACGCTGATTTCTAAATAGAACGTTTGAATCCCTCGTTCTATATGTTGACATCATAGATGGTTGGTTAGGCCGTTTTATAGTGCCAATTTTTAAACTTGGCATTTCAAACTTGAATTTGTTATTAAAAATTAGATTGACTAACGTAAATGTAAAATATTTTTTATATTTTAATTTTATTTTTTCTCGAGTAAATAAGTTGAGTACTGATTCTTTTGAGCTTAAGATGAATCTATATTATCAGTGATCACCGATCGAGGCGATCCTATGTCTAAATAATGCAATGTATGTTTTGATAAAACAGCAAAAATAAAAGGCTAAATTCTCATGAGGGGAAAAGGTTCTTGGATATGGTTCATTAAATTTACGTAAACCTGAGAACATGTTACGAGTGTGGGAATCGAGCTGTAAGTGTAACACAATACAGTTGCAAACAGGTTTACGCAAACATATATTATCTCACGCAATTTACATATATCTCGTAAAATGTGCGGGCATTTATTATTCGTAATTGAATAATCGAAGCGCAGCTTACATCTTTTTTCAATAATGATGTAAAAGTATATACGAAAACACGAAGCCTTCGCACGAGCATTGCTGCTAGAGTTTATCCATTAATCTAGCTGACCTAGCCTCCTCCATGCCAATCGTGCGTATCCGCATTACGCGGTGCACACGAGTTGCGTGTATTTTCACCCGGTTGGGAGAGAAGCGCCAAATATGTATGTACATACAGCTACAGATACTCACTAAAGTATGCACGCGCGGCAATCCCGTGCCGCGAAACGATAATCTCGGAGGCTTTTTCGCACATATATACATATATATGTGTACAACACCTTTCTCTACATATAGGTATGAGATGTCTTTTTTATAGCGCGCGTCAGTTTTCAGACAAATTTAGTATACACGTGATTGGTGAATGATGGAGTTAAAAATTGACGCTAATTGTTTATTTAATAAATTTTTATTTAATCATTATTTAATAAATTAAAGCGTCAATTTTTAACCCATAAACATTGTAGTGTTTTTAATTACCTACATTAAAAAAAAAAAACGTTTAAATCCGAGTAGTTTTAACCGGTTCCGAGATAAAAACCTAATTAATAGAAGCAAATTAGACCAAAAAAGTGCGTTATCTCGGAACCGGTTAAAACTACTCGGATTTGAACGTTTTGAACGGATTTGAACACACACACACACACATCTTTTACAAAGTACTCTTTATGTTTCAGATCAAAGCGAGAATCTGTTGAAAAGATGCGTTCGATGATATAACTGCGGACGGCAGATGAAACTAGTATAAGAGAAATCACTATGAAAATAAGCAGGCAAGGATATTGGTGTCGATTGTTATTGGCAACCGCGATCTTGTCAGGGCATGTTAATGCAGAAAAGGTTAAGTAATCGAGAATTGTAAGCGTAAGCGATCTTTTTCACAATCCCTCCCTCAACGCGCACGATGCGACGGACAAAAAATGTACGATATATCGTATTAGTCACAGATTGTTAGATCTTGTTGAAGGATGATGACTCGAAGACGTAACTGCGTATAATCGGTGAAAGTTTAGCGGGGAGAGATTATTAACGACAGCAACGTTTATATCTAAAAGAACACGCGTGTGCTTAGCCGTACGTACAAGCGCGCTCAATGTGTATTACTTTATTAAGTAATTGGTGATATTCTGAATTTAAATAAGATATAATTGACATTTTCCAAGGTGCGCAAGAGGCAGCAACAAAATCGATTGCATTGAAATGAACAATAAATCAATGATTGCCTTGGAGACCGGGGCTAGTTGGTACACTTTTTTTTAAAGTTTTTTTTTTACACATAACTAATAAATGGAATACAAGCCGCAAAAGAATTTTTTAATAGGCGCATGCTTATACAACACAAAAATTATTTTTTTAACCAAATAGTATAATTAATTATATTGTTGCACCAATAATAATTAATTATAAGGTGACGACATTTGTAACAACCAGCCCCATATACGAGTAAGTTGTTACAGTACTGGATTAAGTTGTGATTTTCAAAGTATAATATATTTAATAAAGAGAAATAACAACATGTAACAATATGTGTCATATTACACTTACATTGTTGAGTGCAAAATTATAATATAAATGTAATTTAACTGATGTTCTATATTGACTCGTTCTGATACGAAATAAGAGACGTTAACGGTGAAATCTTCATAAGATTAAAATATCTGTCGCTGTGTTATGCCGAAATTATGTGTTACATCGACGGAGTTGGTCAAAATTATAAGTAGAACAGCAGTAACAACCTGCCCCGACCTGCCATATTTAGATATTTTGATTATTGTTTAACCAAAAGAAATTTTTTAAGACATTAACATAACTGGAAGTTATTACGTTTAAAGTAAAGATTTTAAAGACAGTTAGAATTATGATATGATGACCAGATTTATAATTGTAACATTTAATACATCACTGATTTATTTTATTTTTGGCTATACAAAATTAAAAATATTTTCTGTTTGTGAAAATACGCTACTCAGCCTAAAGTAACTATAAATTGAAATATTATCGCAATGTTTTTGCGGAAATACTATATTTTTTATGCAATATTATCTTTTGTTACTTTTGCAATAATTGCCGTGTACACCTGCCCCATGTACCAACTAGCCCCGGTCTTCCCTACTGCGCTTAATCGCGAAAGATTGCCATTGCAGCAAAAGCGGCAGATTTTTCGAGAGCAAGTGCTACCAGCGTTGGGTGGCAAGATTCCAGAGGAAGCTTTTAGAACAGATCGGCTGGCGCTGAATCGGTTAAACAAGGAGGGTATTACCGTGCCGGACGGCGTCGTCTTGGATGCTCGGCACATCCACAAGCATCCTCATCCCAATCAAAGAATGCCGGAGATAATAAAGGCATGTTTTTGTGTGCATGAGCCATATCATAGACGGAATAACGTTTATAACGTTATTCAGGTCAGGGATATTTGGGGAAAGTATTACAAAAAGTTCAACAAAAAAAAATGCACAAAAACGAGAATAATCGTTTCCCGTAGTTTTTTGGAGCAATTTGACATACGGAATCGTATTCAGTGCCCATCAAAAAACTATTATATAAGAAACAATTATTCTCGTTCTTGAGCATTCTCTCGAAAAAAGTATTTTTTTCTTTATTTTTTATTGAACAGTGTTAGATTACTCTCCTAATTATTTTATATTATTGTTTCATTCAGTATACTTTATATCTAATGATTCATTGACTTTCATCTATAATCAAGGTCTATCTAACGTCGGACGGTCGATACGTACCGCCGGAAGGTCGACCTCACTATAATTACCCGAAAACCGTCGACACTACTTACATTATACGAAGACCATTTATGCACACGAATCACAAAACACCAAACAATTTTGAAAACGTCAAACTACGAAGCTATCCGAAGGCACAGAGCTACTCGAATTATGGACAGTTTGTGCCGATCGCACCACCCGTCGAACCAGGTGTTTACAAGCCTATTGCAGCGCCTTTCGTATTTCCGGCTGACAGAAACCTGTTTGATTTATCAAGCTGGAAGACGGGATATGAGTGGGACACCGTGTACGAACCGTTTGACGGTTACTTTGTTAACAATCTAGCACTCTTCGATTCACATCAGGTAATGTCTTACGATTATATTTCCTTATATATGGAATTTGTGAAATTTGTGCAATTTTATCCAGTGTGAGCAATAGTTACGTGTTGTTAAACTAACTCAGTCATATATCGTTTGCTAGATCATTACGGATTACCAAGGATTTCTCAATGAGTTCCATGGACGATCCTTGAGGCACGTGAAAAGTAGTGACAGAAATCAACAGCATCGCCAGGGTCGAAAGTATCAGGAATCGAAACTATCGTCCACGCTTCATCAGAAAATCAAATCGAATGCCGCCAAAGAATCTCAAGATTCTGCTTATACAAGTCTCACAAATATACCGGAAACCAATTTTTCTTGCCGTGGAAAAAAGGGAGTGTTCGCAGACGTCGAAACCAAATGCCAAGTAAAAACAGTTTCCTCTGTCCTTTCTTTGAATATTAATTATATCATTATTCCTGTGAAAGCGAAACGAAAACAAATGAAAAGCTACAATCTGGAAATTATCACGCTCAACCAAATTAGAAATATATATATATGTATGCACATACATATGTATAAATAGATAAAATCTTTTGTGACTCAAATTAGAGTGAAACTATGATTTGTGATGGATATATTGACGATGGGATTAAAAATAAGTGTACTTTTGCATTATTCAAAAACGAAACGTGAAGAAAAAAGAGAGAGAAACAATATCTTTGAATTTCGCATCTCTTTAATATATTTATAATTGAGTCGATACGTCTTTTTGCTATGTTAATATGTAATTGTAGTATGTACTTGATCTTTCTTGTAAATTTTATTGGAGCATCACGTTTCGCACGAATAAATCACTGGATCTTATCTTACAAGATATTCGATCTACGATGTCATGGAGCAATAACGTATTATTAATCGTATCGCGTCACGATGTTGTTTCCAACCCAACGAGTGATTTCAAAACTTTCGGGCGATGGCCGCGATGAGCAAAGTGTACGATTCATCCGGATTTCTACGTTCGGTGTAGGGTAATCTAGATCAACGTCGTCTATTATATGTTATAGTTATTAATTCTTTAACGAAACGGCTGACAGAATTGCGGCATACGTTGCAACATTTTGCGATTCTTCCTTCGCGTTGTTGTATTTGTGTCGATTTTCTCGCACGATATGAAAACTTTAAAGTACTTTGACCGAATGCTACCGTACGAATTCCATACATGTATAGACAAGGAAAATTCTGCGTAATCACATAAACAGATTAAACGATTACAACTTGTCAATTGTTTGATGTGATAAGCTTTTCTCATAAGCAAGTTGTAGCAATTATAAGAGAGCAAATATAATTATTAATTTCATTTTATCTATCCTTGCGATTGTAAGATTACAATTCAGTAAAATGCTTCAGAAGTAATAATGTTGTGAAACAGATGAATACACTAAGAAATAGTTTATAAATACAAATTGATAATAAATATATGATAATAAATTTTAACTCGGAATAATAAAGTTGCCAACCGCAGCACAAAGAATGATAAGATTGATAAATTTAAAAAATACGCGAGTGTCCTTTCCGGAAGCGACCTTACTTCATTAGATATAACAGCTATCTATGCATATATATCTTTTTCGTTTGATATTTATTTTTTTGCAGGTATTTCACAATTGCTCAGATTGGTCAAAAACATCCTCACTGTGTCCACCGGGAACTGCGTTTTGCGAGACAAACAACCGATGCGAGTGGTTCTATACCGTACAGTGCAAGAATTAATATATAAATTTAAAAAAAAAATTGAATTATTCTTGTATAAAGTTTATAAAAATAACAAGAGAATGCTTAACACATTATTTATTCCGAGTTATTTTGCGTTTATCCATAATCTGGCATCCAAATCAGCAAATTTAGATTAACGAGAAAGAAAGAAACTTTTATGCAAGCTTATATATATGTTTATATATTTAATTAGTATATTAGATATACCAATTCTAGAATACTTTTATTATCTAGGCTTTTGTAAGTACATAAATTTGTTATTCTTAAAATTGTTTTATTTATTAGAAATATAGTTTAAATCATCTACCTCTTTTCTTAGTTTAAAAGTGTATTTCTTCATGATTAGATGTATAAAGTAAGTTATTGTATATTTTATATGACAGCTAGTCTATCAAAATATTACATATAAATGACACATTTAGATTTCCTATGACACAATAGTCAATTTTCATGCGCTCGCACGTGTATGTGCATGTGTGTGTCCAGTTGTGTCAGAAATACATTTCTAAAATTTTATAATTGTTCTCATTTTTAATTATTTCTACAATAAATTATTGATTGCTGTTTTAAAAATTTTGTTAAAATTAAGTTTGAAATTGATTTAAAAGTCTGTGGAAATCGCAATTATTTCGGAATATGTGAATATTTTCAAAATGGGGAAATTGCGTACTGATAATTTTATATGTTTATTTGTAAAAGGATCAACGATATCTGACTGGTGATTTAATATTTTAATGATATCTGACGATATCTCTGACTGTTTATACGTATCTGTAGAGGGCGATAATCTTCGGTGACTATAATAGCGACTGCGCAAGGTAGTCGATGAGATAGATTTCTTCCTTTCTTTGCGTGCGATATAAGATATAAGACTATTATAAGATTACGAAAAAAAAATAAAAGATAAACTTTAAAAATTATTATGACGTGAATAAACTAAGACAATAACTACTGTAAAAATGTAAGCATAAAGCTTTATTATATAATGCAAATTTAAAAAAACAAATATATTTTAGATCTTAATTTACGTTATTTATTAGACAACATTAGCGTCATTTTTAATGATATTCATTGTAATTAGGAACATAATTGTTAGAGTTACATTACTAATTATTAGAATTGCAACGAGGCAGAAAGTTATAATTTGCAAAAAGAGAAGAGTCATGAAAACGAATTACTTACAGCGCTCAAATTCTTTGCGGACAGATGGTAAAAATTAGTAATGTGTGTACAAAACATAAAATAAAACATTCTCCAACTTTCTCTTGTTCTTCTTTATTATTGTTTTTTGAAGCTCTGAGTATAATTTGTACTATCAATTTTCCTTTGTTAAAAAATACAAATTATAGTGATTGACCACAGCTTTTTTACCATATATAATACCTACGCAACAATACCGAAACTGTAAAAAAGTAAATACATTCTACTCATAAAACATTTTTCAAAATTCAAATAGAGGTCTCCGGGCTGAAAATTTGAAAAATAAAATTCCCAGTGCTTCAGTAATTCATTTTTCAAGTCAAGTGCTAAACCTATACCGAAAACACAAAAAAATCATTGCGCTATACCTGATATCAATAGAAATATGAATGTAAAAATATATTCTCCTCTCAATCTAATAATGTCAAATCACATAAAATAATTTAAAAAAATACAAGACAGAAAAAAAATAAAAATAAATAAATAGTATAAACGTTGTTATATAATATGGCATAATTTTTAGATATATTTTTCATTTATTTTATGTTTACTTTTAATTTTTATTTTTATTTATTTATTTTATTTTTAAATAAATCTGATTGCTATTTTCATAGATAATATACGTTTCATTAACTATAATTGTTACATGCTATCCGTTAAAGTTCCCCAATTTATAATATTCCATTAAAAAAAAGTAATTCAATAATAAAAATAAGTAAAAATACAATTAAAAAATAGAAAATATTCGAATTTCTTCTTTACCTATAGATTAAAATTTCAAAATTGCTGTCTATAAATTTATCAAATTTATTGATAGCCATCGGTAGTCTCTTATTTCAAAAAAATTATTTTCGAAAAAAATGAAGAAAGTCTCTTAAAAAATCGAAGTTATTGGAATACGTAATTTTGTAATAAAAATATCAAGATTTTAATCGGTCCAAAATATAGAATTATTTATTTTCTTTCTTTTTTTGTGTCCTTTTTGTCGTCAACATCTTGTGTTGTTCCGAAAAGAAGAATCGCAAGACGAAACTTCTTTATATCTTATTCTGTGTTGTGCACCAAGTTACATCAATCTCGACACAATTCCACGATGTCGACAGCCTATAGTTTGACCAAATTTCTGTTTCATGATGTGCAATTAACCGACAATGACGCGTTTATCTCTTAGGGTGATAATGGAAGGGGCTCAACCTCTTGCTTACGTACGATTTAGACTTTCTCTTTCTCTATGTGACATAATGTCTCGTATACCTAGCACGGCCTCACAGCGGAAACTGGTCCAGTTTCGTTCATATTCAAACTCAGTGCGGTCATGTCGGGAAGTCGTAGTATCCTTGTCGTATTTCTGGTCGCCGCTATGGCAGCGCCCCATTCGACTATTGTACAGGTAAATCTCGGTTTTATTTGGCAAAAATAATTCTAAATTCTGAAAAAGTACTTGTTTTTATATATTTATACGTATATAACATGCCTAAAACTTTATACACATATTCTAAACTATATTTCATGGACGAACTGTCCCTAAAATATAGTTAGTCTTTTACTTGAATTATGTATTTTCCTTGCATTTTAGTTAAAAACAGTTGTGATATACATATAATACAGAGGATCGTAACTAGATTCCTAAGAATTGTATTATATTATTCCAGATACGCATTTTATGGAGAATTTTATTAGTAATTATTAATAAGTATTAGATAAGAACTGTATTCACTATGAGTGTTTTTTCTTATTGTTAGATCTGTCACTAACATACTGACAACGAACTGCTTCTCTCTCTTTTTCTAAATTTATGAAAATAAATTATCAAACCGTGAATATATCGATATTTTTTTCTGAAATATACGTGATTTGATTTTTTAAGCAATTGAAATCTCGTAGTAACACTAGTAAATTTTGTACATAACATAACACATATATGTCATTATTACTACAAGATTTCAATTGCTTGTCATATATATGTATATGACGTACACTTACAGTATTAGTTTACACACAGATGTGCTGTATTGTGCTATTTATCGTATTTATATTGAAATACGTTGATACATGAGCCCCCATTGATCTCTTGGAATTAAAGTAAGGCATCAAATTGATTTACTTTGTAATATAATAACAGCATGGAGAGATGATATAAAGAAACGTCCTTGGCTTTGAATAGATCAAGGCAACATTTCGCGAAGGTTCGTTACACTCTGTTGGACTCCAAACTTTTTCTAAACTGTGAAAGCGAGTTATGATCCGATAGCGGAAAGAGATTACTTCTTACATTAAAATTCCAAAAACGCCTGATCACCTATTACTTCATTTAAAGAGTCCCATATTTTATTAACGTTGATTAACTATGTATCTTTATGATTACTTCTAACAATCTATCTATCTATCTATCTAACAGACAAACTTGTTATTTAACGCTTCGTTTAATTTTTCCAACGATATCGGTAATAGATCGCTGTAAATTTTCATTGCAGGGACGAATAGTAGTGAACGATTATTACGACGAATATCAAAATTTCCAACCGGTAGTGGGTTTTCGGCAACCCATTGTCGTAAAAGAAGAATCGAAGAAAGATCAGGATTTGAGCAAGATTCCTGGAATCCCCGGAATAGATTATCCCATATATCACACAGTGCCGCCTACCAGCTTTTCCTGCGCACACGTTCCGATCGTACCAGGAATGTACGCAAACGTGGAAACCGGTTGTCAGGTACTTGATCATATTTCATTTACTTTTAATATTTCGCTTACTAACGCTGTTGCTAATATCGTTTTTATGAAAGTAATCAGAATTACTTTATATAATTATATATCTTAATACGAAAAGTTTTCGGTAATGGATGACAACAATTAAAAAAAATGATATAGACACGTGATGACTTGAATTAAGTTGATTATAAGCTGAAATACCCCCCGATGTTAAGAGCATATAATGTACATAACTCAAGCATACTCGTAACTTCAGAAACGCCGCGCCAGTACGGAGCCATTATTTAAGGAACGAATGACGCAAAAGTATGAAAAAATTAAAAACGTATTACGAGTATCAAGGATAATTAACGGCGAAAGCAGAAAAGCATAAAGGTAACGCGTTGTTCCATGTACGATTGATTTTGAGTAAAAAAAATACATTATCTCTATATATATATTTGCATTTTATTTGTATAAAATTGGTAGACGTGGATGTGCCTGGCATTTTTCGAAATGTGATGACGATATTCGAAACGAAATGAATAATTTAACAAAATTGTATAAACGTTAGAGGTAATCGCATCGATGGCATTGACGCCGACGCGCGACGTGACGCGACATCAAGCTATATAATAATATACATATTTCTAAATTGATGTTTTCTCTCCACGCGCGGTATTACGCTTTCTGTCGCGTGTCACGTTCTGTCGTACAAGACCGATGCGAGCGGAGCTGTGCTCAGAGAACAAGGTAAAATCATTCCAGTGCACAGTGATTTCGAGCGCGCATGCTGCGCTCATGCGCGCTCGAGCCGCGCGCGGTCAAAGTAGAGCGGATTTATTATGTAAGAGAACGGGCTGGCATTATTAAAACCTCAAGGCAACGCGGGAATAAGAACCGATCTCGCCTTAGTGAAAGACGAAAGACAAACTCTGCAAGAGAACAGTCTTGGCAAATTGTTATCGTAATTGAGCTTGACTCAGCCTCTCTCGCGGTGTGTCGAGATACGCCGAATGTTATAACTTTGCAATTCTCGCTCTCTTCGACAATCTTCATATAATTTCGAAAAAGCTATCTCTTCTCTCGAATTACATTCTCTCTGACATTCGCATTCGCGAAATCAACCTGAGTGGTTTATGGCGATGATTGTCGTGAAAATAACATGCAACAATACAAGATATTGCTGATTCTTTCACGAACAATAAAACGCACTGACATAAATGACGTTACGTGACTCAAATGCTCCGTCATGCATCGCAACTTGATTTCCAGAGCGCGCGCTAAACTTTCCTTTTCAAGAATGTCATTCGCTTCCTTTGTATTTCCTTAAACCTGACTTCTATCCTACCGTTTCACGTCACTCCTATTATTTTCAGTAAACTTGCACAACATGTTTCGCATTAATTCCTTAATTACGATGTTTATGTAACAGAAAAGCATCATATTAGCCTTATTCGACCAGCTTGCACCAGTTGCGCGACTTTCTTCATCCTTTCTTCATTATTAATGTACAAATTTCCATTTCTCAAAATACTTGTTATAATTAAATAGATTCCGCATAAGACTAATCTATGCGAAACATGTTGTATATATGTCGTTTAATCGTTTTAGTGTTTGTGCATATATATGTATATGTAATATATGATAATATATTAATATTGTTACAGGCATATCACGTTTGCCACGACGGGCGTGAGGGGCATCAGGGTGCCAGCTTTTTATGCACCAATGGAACGCTCTTTAATCAACACGAATTTGCATGCGACTGGTGGTACAATGTTAATTGCGCCAATGCACCATCCCTTTATAGGTAAAGTTTCTTTCGGATAATCTCAACAGAGATGCCGTCACAGAATATGTGAAAACATTTTGTAACAATTTTTTAATGGCTTGTTAACTCATCAAATGTATATAATATTCTTCGGCTTAAATCCTTGTGTTTGGCAATCTACTAGTTACTTACGTTCGCAGGGTAAACGCAGATCCATTAAAGAATCCATATGTACCGAAGGAGACAAAGGACGCGATTCGAAAAAGATTGAAGATCGTCGTACTTTAAATGTATGTAATTAGCTGTGTATAGCTGATAAATTTGATTTACGACTACACACAAACACACACACATTTACACTCTCAAATAAGCTTTATTTATAATATTGCTCGCGTGTCTCTTGTCAAGATTAGTAATAAAAAGAAAAACAGTTAATATACAAGTATTAATTTTTTATTTCCAATCAACAGAATGCAAGTCATTATTTCTCCACATAGAACGATAAATTTCCTAAATTTAATCCTCAATTTTCCATCGTTTAGCTCATAAATTTACATCCCTATCAATGGAGATAGCATTCAGTCAATTACATTCATCGACAAATAAAGGCGAGTATTAAAAGTATTGAGTGAAAGGCATGGAGAGAGTACATATGGGGTATCCTAAGGGAAGTACGTCGTGAGTGAGCGAGAGAAATTGACACGTGGGATTAATGTCTTTTCTCCTTTTCACACAAAATCACACCTCCTTCTGATTGTATGTATCTCTAATTTTGACATGTGTTTGTGTACGCTATATAAAATATAATAATCCAATGAAAAGAGTCAATATGACGCGATAAGATCTAGCAAATAAAAACTATAGAAAAGTGCAAATAAAACTGAAACGCTGAAGCTAATACGTATTTACGGTGCGGAGTGCGAAATGATTAATATAATATAATTTTACCAGAAAAATTATAAAACATCTGGTATATCTGGTAATCTGAATTGAACACCGCAATGCAATCTTTTGTTGCATTCACTTATAATTAGATATATTGTCGATATGCATTTAATGATTTAATTATCGTACTGCATCTCGTGAAATCTCGGCAGGGACTTTCTAGCTTCCGCATACATTTGTAACGTCTTCTGGTTAGTAATGGTCATGTCTCGATGCACAGTATGCACACACGTAAACATTCGATTGCCATTAATTACTTAGAGAGAAAGATGAAAGTCGTAGATACCAATCTAAAGCGATCATTGCTTTCAGCAAGAGTATTGTTGGTAAGTCCAGTGCATGAATATTTCTCTGTCTCCTCATGCTAAATAAAATGACTAGATATCAAAAGACACGTCAATCAAAAAAGTAATCGCGAAGGAAACAATTTTAACATTTAAAACTTATTAATAAAAAATTTTTAATCTTGTTGCGTACCTTGCATAATAATTTTATTAATATCGAATGATTATGTAAAGTGTAATTTCGCGCGCCCGCGCGCGCATGTGTGTGTGAGATAGCGGATGTCACAAGTTTAATTGAGGGAGTATATATTAGTTTAAAACTGTTAAGGAAGAGAAACTTGATTGCAAACTCTTGCGAAAATCAGAAATAGGATGTTATGTAGGCGTCGACTAGGAAGTAAAGTCAAGGACGTTACTTGGCTCACTTTCGTTATCGAAAGGTTGTGAATGTCTTTTGCGTCGGGCCGGATAAGTCGCAAAGCGGATAAGAGCCGCTCTTTCTCTAGGCCGTTCGAGGCTAATAACGAAATAGGTAAAACGATAGATAGATATAGATCGGTTAAACACACGCAATACACAGTTATCGCACGGATTTGTGTAACGTTATATACAATTTTACCCGACACCTCGAGTATCATATTGACAAACGGAACTACAACGCGACAGAGTTCTAGCAATAATGCCAATTTAACAATGTTAACAACAAACTACTTTTTTATTAGCTTACAATTAATCGTTATGAAGTCTTACTAACATATGTCATATGGGAAATGTTATAAATGCAGTTATATTATAGTTATTACAAACGTTATTAATAACACGACGATAAGATAAGAGATGCAACAAACTCATAAAAAAAATCAAACAAACTCAAAACTGATAAAATAATAAACAATTAAGAAATTTATAACAAGTATACAAGTATAATAAAATATATATACAGATATATCACATTTCGAGAAAAATATTCAATTTTTTGAATTGTACAGAGATAACTAACGCAATTACGATTATGATATAATTATAATATTTTGTTATAATGAAACTTATACTGTTTCTTAAAGAGGTCTGCTGTGATTCATTCGTCAATATATATATATGACATATATTATATCATATGTACATACATCCAGGAAACCGCAACATAACCATGGTGAAAAGAATAACGATACTTCTGCCCCGTGTAGCGGATTTCGCATATAGACTTATGACACTATTATAAGACATAAGCAACTTATCTTAGGGGGGTGCGATATGTATAGCTTTATATAGCTATATAAATTACTTAAAAATGTGCAAAAGTGAGTTCTTGGACATTCCATATAGATAGTTGTACACCTCGTTTCATGACAAGCTGCAATAAATTCATATAGTGACACGTAAGCTAATAATGAAGTCGAGTCACATATACATGGACAGTACACGACAAATGTAAAGCACGTCGCGTTGCTCGCGTGCGATCAACTCTCATTTCTGTCACTCACATCGCAAATCATAGCTAATGATTAAGTAGATACAATTATGAGGTAGTACATTAGTGTGAAGATTACTAATCCTTTCCTACATTTTTTTTACCACTATGTAGCTACGGGACGAGACGGCTTCCAGAATGCAATTAGAAAGTGGCACATAAAGTGTGTTCGGGTAATTTATGTAGAAATAAATGTGAGCACCATCAGCCTCCATCAATTGTGCTGTTCACGAATTGGTGTGGTCAAATTTTTGGCAAAACGATCGAAATAGATCACCGATCGTTCACATTCACACACACGCACGCGCATACGCCCAAACTGTCGTATGTCGTATGTCAGATGCAAAGATTTATATGTTACGCAAACAATAGTACGACAGATTTTATCGTTTGATTTCCGGATATACCATACGGTATATGCATGCGGTATTGCACAAAACGCAGCCATCTGATACGCACGAAACGATCGTCGCCAAGGGTCACGCTTGAATAGATGACGTGGATATAAGCACAAGCCGTGCATGTTTGTGCAATGACGTCGAAATATAATTCTCCAATCTAACAATACGATTTACCTGATTTTAAACTTGCGCACGATGGTTTTTTTCTTTTTTTAATAAAAAGGATCCTATCAACTAGTAAACTGCAGTACCCAGGATCTCAGCCCATAACCTGCATAACATTTGATTTAAATTATACTTATTGCACAACATAAGCGAAAAACGATTTAGCTCCAGAGTAAAAAGTATGGGAAAAAACTTTCAAAAAACCCATATTACATGATAATGTAGAGATGCAAATAGAGACGCACTCTATTTAAACAATATCCACCCCTTAATCGGGGGATTCTTCTTGTAATTTCGAGTTCTTAGAACTCTTAAAAATTCTTTTTACCTCCTCTTAAAAGAGGAATATGTGGCGTGATCGGGATCGAACTCATGATCCCTAACATACTAATCTATTGTACTCATACTGAGCTACGAAACATTCCGCGATGTTAATTGAGATATTCCGATTATAAGTGCAAAAATTACTGAAATTAACGAGTATATCAAGCATAATGAACCAAAGTAAAAAGTGAATAATATAATTTATCGAGGCAGGGGTTGCAAGAAAATTACATCATACAATCCGCTGTACTGGAAGACATGCAATGTATAGGTATTATTCATCTTGAGAATGTACTATCTTGCTATAGCTCTTATTTTCTCGATATAAAAATTCGAATCGGCATCGGCTTGATTGAATTACGAGACAAGAATATCATAACCATGCAATAGACAATAACGATCAGTATGTTTACGGATTTCCTCAGATTCACACATCAATTAAGATACCACTTTCACTCGAATCCAATCAATTTCAATCCCAAAGAGATCCCAGATCCCAGATCTCAGATGATCTGTAGCTGTACTTCCTGTTACTTCTCAATCCGCGGTTACACCTCAACGCTCCATATCCTATGCAAGTATATGCACCTTGAAAGCGATGCCAAAAAATCACCAAAAGTTGCACTTCTATCTGACGTAATTCTGACAAGAGGATGCCTCATGCGGATCACACGATAAGAAATCAGATACTATAATTTACCAAATATACTAAAATAATTAAATATTGATTAATTTCGTGTATGTCAAACAGATATTTGAGCTATTCAGACGTTGCTGAACATGACGTTTTTGCTAAAAACAAATTTTTGAAAAGACATTGTAAAGTACCCGAACACACACAGAGAGAGAGAGAGAGAGAGAGAGATCGCATTTTTCTACTATTTTAGTTATCATCTGACCGTCTGAATTCGTTATTATTAACGAGTCACACGCTCGCTTACGGCGAATAAACGGCGTGAGATCGCGATGCGAAAGTATCGCGGCACACGCCAGCAAAGGCCTGCGTATGCCGCAGTTTCGTGAAAAAACCAAACACCGATGTATCTAGATCTAATGTCGACGCAACCCAAATGCCACATGTACATCAAACTTGACAAATAAATTGCAACCACAAATTTTTTACAAAAATAAGGGCAAAAAGGCGAAATGCGATAAAAATGATTTAATAATCTTTATCGCGTATCTCAACTCTAGGATATACAGCTCTCTTATAAGCGCCAACAAAAGAGATACCGTCGTCAAGATACAGCTTTGGATATCATTTGCTGAAAGAGAAAGAATAAAAGTGTTTCGTCAACATTCTTAATATAATACTCTCCATCCTGGAACTTATCTGAAATAACATCGCACAATGGAAAACGTAAAACGTAAAAGCATGTGCCAAGTTTTCGTTTTTATTTTTGTTTTCATTTACTGTCTAACAATAAGTTATACATAGGTATGTGTCATTTGCGCGCGAAGACGAATTGAAAGCGGTTTCGGGAGCACGCATTCATCTAATCTATATCCCGGCTGTTTTTCTTGCGAACGACCGACCGACCGATTGCCTTTCCCACGGCGCGGTGGCAGCTCGCTTTATAGCGAGCAAAGCGGCCGCACTCGTATCTTTCGTATCTTTCGTGTGCACTTAGTCACACCAGCTCGCATGCACACGTGCATCGCGCGAGTTTACTTATACAACTAGAGTATACAATGTAAATTTATACAATCTACGACACGCTACGAGAAAAGTCCTGGAAGGAAGCCTGACTCGGCTGTTGCATGGCGCATGGCGCGTGCGATTGCAATATAGCGCCAGTACCAGATTATAGTAACCGATCCAGTTTGGAAATCAAATCAAACAGAATTGTATCTACGGTACGTGTATCTCGTCTTACTGTAACTCTTTACTATAACTCGTCCACCGGGCTAACAACGAGTAACGAGTAACGAGTAACGATCGTAACGATGACCAGTCGACGGATAGTTTAGGGATGATCGCCGCGCTGGTCGGTGATCATTGGTTGTCGCGCCACCCTTTGTTTCGTTAATACGTAAATAATAAAATTCCAGTTTAGGTTTAGGCCAAACGCATGATATGGAAATAATGGAGAAAGTAAGGAAAAAATTAAAGAAGGAGTCTGACGCGACGCGACGCAACGGCAGGACTTGCGCCTATACGCCGAGTATGTGCCGAATGTGCGCTCGAGTGCGCGATACGCTGCGGAAAAGTGGCGGATATGAGAACCCCACCTGGTCCGGACCGCGGGCGCGGCCTTTCCCCTCGGACTATAAAGCCACTACAACTCCACTTCCACCAAACATTCGCTCGGCGTTCCGTCACTCATTTGCTCTCACCATGTGGCTGCTTATCCTCGCAGGTGAGTGCGATCACACCATCGTCACATTTTCGCGGGAAAAAGGACGAAATTTTCACAGGGTGCTTCGGCAAAAGTGCTTACGACCCGATCCACATCGTTTCCTCTTGTCGATGTCTTGTTACGTACTTCCCTGTGGAACGATACGCTGCGGCTGTGTATGATACGTGCGACGCGATAAAACCCACGCGTGTGTGTTTCTTTTACCGCGAAACGCGGCGCGGCTGTGAATTTTGTGCGGGAAAAATGGATTCTGCTGTTCTCAGGAATCTAGGAGATGGAACCACTTGCGAAAAGCTGAAGAAAGCGCATTTTGGATTTGTTTTAGTCTATGTCCACTCTGTATATATACCATATATGGAGGGGTAAAAACCACAGTGGTGTAAGTCAAATTTTTAAAAATATTTTCTCGTGTGCATAGATGCAATTTATATACTGTACAGATTGCATCTATGCACACGAGAAAATATTTTTAAACATTCGACTTACACCACTGTGGTTTTTATCCCTCCATATGTAGATATATCCGCGAATAATATATCTCTATGTTAAAGTATATACAGAAAGATCACTTTGCGTTTTTGTTCTTTGACGAAAATAATAGCGCGAATCACGATAAAATATTTTTCAAATGTTGAAAATGTTTAAGTAGATTTTTGCTTTTTATTTTGAGAGCGCTAGATGCGCGTTTAATTTTCAAATATTATAAATCTCATTGTCAAAGCTAAAAAAAGAGAGCTGCTTTATCAGTGGCATAATATTCTTGAATTCATCGTTTTGAGCTACGCGCGTATTTTATTAAAGATTTTAAGATTACCACAAAACTTGCCCGATTATCTTTGTCAGATTATCGGATTAGTGTAATTCCCATGCTCCGTGTACAGCTGTTTCTCGATTGATTGATTGATTAATGATTCGCGTTTTAAACACAAATCTATAAACGAAAATACTATAATAAATAATTACTTAAAATGATTGCTTTGGAAATATCAATATATAGCGATGCACATATTATAGCTGGAGGGATGTAGTCTTGGAGAGGGATGTAGGTACTACATTATTTAATACTGCCAGTCGTCTCTATCTTATATAAATCGCGTTCTACAATGCGATACATTAAATGGCGTTATACGCATTACATGGCAATATTCAATACGCGACATTCGTTTGCACACGCGCTGATGAGTTCTCCAGTTTTACTACATCGATAGCAATACTTTTTATTTAATAGCAATAAATACCTTAGTAATGGCTTTAAACAGTACAATAGCTCCAATTCTTTGAAAGAATTGATAAAGATACAAAACCAAATGTAATAAGATTCTCGGTGCAATTCTCGAAACCTATCGTTTACGATCACGAAAAATTTTATATGCAAACGTTATACTGAATGAAAGAAATGTTAGTAATGTGTCCGTTGTGGGCTCTCTTTTATCAATAAAATTAATACTTAACATTTCATTTGAAGATGTAATCTTTATATGCAGGAAATTCGAGATTAACAAAATGATATAAGAATAAAAGATTCTTGCAAAAGTGAAATGTCGTCACTATCTATTCGAAGATGGGAAAGTCAATTCGATTGCAAAGTGCCTAGATGAGAGCAGATCCAATTAACTATAATGAGAGATAATTACGCATAAACTGTCGTAAATCTCCAATGAATTGCAATGAATGCATTAACTTTCCAGGTTACCGGCCGATTGTATTATACTAACTTCCGAGATATTGTATCAACTATTATACTCGCGTAAAGAATCCATTCTATTGTACACATGCGTCTCGTAATTAAGTATTCACTTGAAAAATATTCGAAGATTATCTCATATTTTAAAATCCCAAAATTTACGCTTTAGAAGTTTAGAAGAACGATAGAGCGACGCATTCATGTTTTATAAGATGTTTTACAAGATCTTATATTTATAAACGTGTTTATAAATGTGTTTGCATTGATACAGCATTGTTCTTCTCAATCTATTTTTCTCTATTGTCAATATATTTCTGATTGATAAACTGAAATGTTCACGTTTAATGAATGTAACATGATTTAATGCAGTTTTACTCGTTAATACTGTAGTTCAACTAGTAGTAGCAATACAGATGGCAATGTTCAAGTATTAGACCGATAGAAAGTTACTTCTCTCTGACACACGTTTACTCAGAGAACGACTATGTCCTGCAATCTTACGATTTCCACTCGACACGTTCGCCATGCAATTTTATTTTTACCAAGTTTACGAGTTTCTTCATACATAGTCCATGACACCGCTGCAAAACATCCTTCTCATAATGCGAAGCTATCGGATTTTCTCATCTTCGAAAGGAACCCACGTAATCACGTAATGATAATCGCACGAGAAGCCGGAGGGTCTCTTTACCTAATTTCCTCCTCGACACGCTGATACAATGCCGCAATGAGAACTCGAATCTGCGTTTCATGATCTCCCGCTTCCCCCAATGTATAAAAAAAGCGTCAAGTTAAGAAACGCGTTTCCTTCCTAGGCTATTATTGCATGTTATCGAGATCTTCCACGTCGTCGCTATGATACGACGAGATAGATTTTTACTCTCACACTACGTGTTTCACGATGAATACTTTATCATTGTATTTTCCTGATTCTGCATTAGATTAATTGCATTAATTGTATGCACATATATCAAATATTTACTTGCTACAAAATATTTTTTTTTTAATAGATTTGGGGCGAAACAACGACACAGTATATAATATAGATAACAGTAATTTTTAAAAAATTAAAAAAAAAAACTTGTTTACAATGGAGATGTACGAAGTAAGAAGTTTATTTCAAGTTGCATATCAAAGGTATTTAATAATGAACAACTGTAATTTATAATCAATGATATATAGAGAAGAAGTCACGTATCGTCAATTGTATTAATTGCATTTTTTACAATTTATCACCCAGAAAATTTCCTACATGTAGTTAATGTAGTTATAACTGTAGGCATAGTTTTTATATACCAATTATACACGTGTCGCTTCACATGGAACCACTCGCGGTGAGCAGTGGCATTTATTTACAGGCGTTATCGTTAACCATCAAATACTCGACCATGACAATTATTTTTATTCTTTTAGATTTATTATTTACTTACTTTATATGTATATAAATAATTTGTGATACAAATCAATCATGGTGGTCACGACAGTCAAGAGAGACAAAAAAATCTCACGCGCTCGTATCGCCATCGATTGAGAAATCGACGTCGAACATAAACCGCGTGAACGAACGGTATCGCCTTTCTAACCAATATACCTTCCGTAATACCGAGTTGCAGCTGCAACTGCAACCAACTTGAAAACCGAAAGTAGTCGAGACGGAAGATCGCTACGTATATACACGTATAATGGTACATACAATGGTATTTTGCCGAATGTACTTAGAATTTTTGTCTTGCGTATCGTCTTGCTTTCGCGCGATGTTTCGTCGCGTATAAGAATGACCCACGCATATAATGTGTGTGTGTATATATATATATATATATATATATATATATAGATTTCTATCTCTATATATATAAAGAGAGAGAGAGAGAGAGAGAGAGAGAGAGAGAGAGAGAAATCTCTGGATATCTGTAATGTGGTTTGAGAACTTTTGTATATTTGTACATATATATTCCTCATGCATAACATATTATACGCGAACGACCCAGGATGGGTAATACAATGGCCCGCGATTGAGACGGAAGTCTTGCGCACAGCTTGAAGAGCTATATGTAGAACGAAAAGGGAAAACTGCTAGTAATAATATGTCACAGAATATACGCTAGTGTATATAGCTACCATTATCCACTGCCAGTATGGAATATCGCAGTCAAAGCTCTTTTACATCTTTTTCTGTCTTCTAGGGCCTTACTTTTCCATTCTTACTTACGTTTACCGATCCTCATATAGAACACTTATCGTTAGTTAAATACTCTTAAATAAACTCTTAAACAAACTTCACAATCCACGCGTTTATTTATTCAAGTATCGTAAGTTTAGTATTTAATATTATATTAATACAACCTATATTAATTTAATTTAATAATATTAATTTATATTTGATTTTAAGGCTCGACTTTATCGTTTATCGTACTTAATTATTGTATTTTAGATTTAAAAGAGAAAAGGACTGGAGCTAGGAGAAAGAATCAAAGAATTAAGGAAACGAAACATTTGCTGATACATGACAAACAAAACATCATCACATGATATACAGAATGATGTGCATTGTAATATCTAAACTAACAATAGTTTTCAATGAGCTTTCTCGTTTATTTCTTTTTAAACAAGATTCATTTTTAAAGCAAATGTATTTTAAAATATCAATATCCAAATATGGATACTTTTTTTTGTCAGAATAGAGTAGAAATGTTATATGGCCTTGAGGAATCTCGATCTCGATCAGATATTAAACTCGGGACAGATTATCCGAAAGTGAAAGGTCGATGGCGTGGTTTCGCATTGTCCTTATTGCATCACTAATTTCACCTCTAATCTAACGCTCGAACCTATTAAACCTAATGCCGCGGTTTTGAAAGACCGCTTATTCGTGTTATACTGATCGAATCTTTGCTCGGTGGTAATTATAATTTATACGTTCGGCGGGAAAGAAGAAAAATTGATCATTATAAATTTTCTCCGACAAAAAAAAATTAAAGCCCATGTACGTTACAATCCAAAACGGTGCGTTGACATTAACATTTTTATGTTATTTTGTTATAGATATTTATTTAGGACGAAATATCGTATAGCGCCTATCATTACATTTAAGGGAATATTCTGGTTTGAAAAGTCATAAAAAAGGTATTTTTCAAGAATTTTTTGTAAAAAAACAAAAATCGCGAATAACGTTCAACTTTGCATGTTCTTTTAGTCTTACTTTATAAAAATATTTTTCAAATATTTTAAATATATTTTTATTTTATGATTCCAGCTGTTCTAGTTCTATAAGGCATCTGAAACGCAAAAACCGAAAACTTTCTTATTCAGAGGAAGTGTGGCTATCGTCTAAACTAGATTAGAATTATACGTAGATAGAAACATTATGCGTTTATTAGATTTTCCCTTTTAATAAAATACTAACAAAATTTATAAAAAACTGATATTTTTAATAAAACGGCCGCCATTTTGTCCAGAATAGAAATATTGGTTTAGTTCTAGACGACAGCCACATTTCTCCTGAATAAGAAATTTTTTGGTTTATGCGTTTTACATACCTAGAACAGAATCATTTACACCGTCCATATACATTTTTTCTTGCAAGCTCCTAGTTTTGTTAATTAGAAAATATAAATATTTTTTAAAATAAGTTCAAAAGAACATGCAAAGTTTAGCATTATTCGCTTTTTTGTTTTCGTTATAAAAAAATTCCGAAAAAATACCTTTTCTTACGACCTTTTAAACCAGAATACCCCCTCAAAGTTGCTGAAATTAATAAATAATTTCCATCCATCTCTTTTCAAGATTAGATCTCGATTAGAACACGTTACGATAGAATGCATAATTTGACACTGAAATATATATCCCATTGTGAAAGCTTTCAGATGCGTAATAAATTTTGCAATAAGGAATAGTATGTGTATGCACATAGATATGTTTCTACTGTTAATGATTATCGCTCGTAATTACCATATAATGTAATGTAAATAATGATAGTAGGAGCGAAGAGAATCGAAGGAATAAAGTAAAATAACATGGGAAGATCATACAATACGCTCACACGTACTGTACTCTTCTCGTGTGCACAGTGAGAATAATAGATGTTTTCGACTTTATGCCAATAAAATAATTTGAGGGGTGAAAAAGGTCAAATAATTAATATCTTTGTATATGAGACCAAAGCTTATGCTATAGTTAATGCACATTGAATACACATTATCTACATTTCCACGTATTGCATTATATTATTGCAGGATATATTGAAACATTTCAACTCTCTCTCTCTCTCTCTCTCTCTCTCTCTCTCTCTCTGTCTCTCTCTCTGTCTCTCTCTTTCTTTCTCACATACACACACACACACACACACACACACACACACACACACACACACACACACACACACACACACACACACACACGCACACGCGCGCGCGTAATTAGGACAATATCTAAGCTATATCTTTTTGCAAAGCGAAAAAATGTCTCGTATAAGCAAATTTAATGCAATTTTGTTTAAAATATATATAAAAGCAATACCGATGTGAAATTAATTTAAGATACCTGTAAATAATGATAATTATTCAACTTTCGACATTGTACATCACTACAATTTACACGCCGTTAAAGTAATGTTTACTTGAAAAATGAATAATAAAGAATATAACTTTGTAGGTATATTGCTTTCATCTTCATCTAAAAATTTGTGACACACAATATCTATTTAATTTAATAATCGTGAAAAATAACACAAATTAACAACCTTCAGAGCGCGATAAACGTAAAGTACACAAATGTAAATATGTAAATGTATATAAATGTAAATTGATAATACCAAATTGATGATATTAAATTAAAGGTGCAAACTCCGCGACGCGTTAATTAGGTGAGATTTGTTAATCGTGTGCGTGCATTCGCGGTATGGGGGATGTGTTACTTAACTGTGGCTTCCTCCTAAGGACGCGCATGTAGTATTACTCAACGAGGGAAAAATTACGCACATCCGCGGAATATCTCACGGACTAACAAAAGAAGGAAAGTTAACCGGATTGCCTGTGCGCTTTCCTCTCTGCTATTTCAAAATGAGGACCTGCGCGACCGCGTTTAAACATAGTTTCTACAGGAAGCAAAGTAATGCAATAATTTATTTCAAAATGTCTTTCTCAATTATAATATATGAAATTTTCAGGATAAAAATTCTTCGACGTACAGACACATTTTACGTCTCTTTTCTCAATGCGAGAATTTTCAGCAAATACATAATTTATTAAAACTTTTCATTTTTTATACGTTATATTATACACTTAAATGCACTTACATCAGTAAACACACAAATAAAACCTGTCTAAATTTTAATAAAGAACTCATTCAAACATATTGAGAAGGTCAATTTGTTAGAAAATTTTTATTTAATTTAATGAAAGTAATTTAATAAAATAATTGGTTTTATGACAATTGATTTTTGAAAAAGATCAACTTAACAAAGGATAATGAAAATCGTAGATCAATTTAAGATTAACTTGAAAGAGAAAAAAGAAAAGGAGTCAAGGAAGATTCTTTATATTGGAAATCTTACAGTGTGACGATGAATTAAAGTATGAAAATTTCTTTTAAATAAAATAAAATATTTTTTATTAGCTATATTTTATATCGATTTAATTCTAATTTGCTTTAAATAGAAGTTACAATATTTTTTTATTTTTAATTAAGTATTAAAAGTTTTATTTTATATATTTATTATATATATATATATATATATATATATATATATATAAAATCTTTCTTACATCACATCTTTGAAAGATGATCTTTCCAACACCATATTCTTTCTAACAGCATATTTTTAAAAAATAAATTTATCGCTGTTAAAAAATCGTAACAAGGTAGCAAGACATTGCTTCCTCAAAGCACTCTTTTATACCCTTACCGTTTCTCATCAAAGCACTACAATTACATTTTCACGGTATGATGTACAAACCAAGTTTTGCGATAATAACTTGTGATTCTTAGTGGCGGGTAGATTGCCGAAGAGGAAACTAGTAATAAAGGCGCGTGTTTTGCGAGATCATGATCATTACGCCTCGCTTACGTGATGGTCTAGGCATAAAGAGAAAAAAAAGTAAGAAGGATAACTTTCCTCAACCTCACTTTTAGGATCACCCAAGAATAATCGTCAAAACTAAACTTTTAATTCAATACAACTAGTTAAAAAACCGTTTTCAGAACTACTTATATATATGTATACAATTCAACTATTTAAGCATTTCAGGTACCATAAACGATTACATTAAGATTAAATATATTTGAAATATGAATTATCAATGTAGAGAATTTATTAGAGTTATCGAGGCCAGTACACAACGTTCCAACAAAATTTACAATAAAGCTAATAATATATATCTTAGCATCAGAAACAAAGACATTGTGATGAATTAATCCGGCATTCTAACAGAGGCTATACATGACTTTGACTATTAACTCATTAAAAAAAACTGCTGTAAGTAGTACCTACATAGTACATGAAATGTTTTTGTATGCGAATATTGATCTTTTATATTTGCAACGTAAGTTTTGCAATACAATTTTAATTTTACCTTATCCTCTCGGAAGAAAATGAGATTTGTCGATTTCTCATTATCAAGCTCCGTTCAAGCTGTGTACTAATGCAAATATAAATTGAGATCAAACTTTTCGGTAATTTTATCGATACGTAAGATACCTTTTCTAATTTTATTGTCATAGCGTAAAAAGTCCTTAAGAATTAACGCGTTCCAGTTTGTCCGAATCGTATATGCGAATTCATATGCTTATCTCTTTCCGCCACGACGAGGCGTCTGAAAATGTTGAAAGCAAAATCCGTGGGAAGAGTTTCTTGAGCGCACGTCGCTTGTAACTTTCTCTACGTTGCTTTCCCAGCACCGTTCTAAGCGTTCGCGGTCAGGCAGAACGATACAGGTAAAAGTCACTTCCACGTTCGATTATTCAACTATCAAACTCCAAAAGGATATTTAGATAGTATTTGACATTTTATGCAGTGGACAATGTTCATGTTCTGAAGAATTTCTAACACACACACACACACACACACAAACATATGTATATATATTTGTTGATAAAACATCTGTTAAAGTAATTTTAATTTTTAGATAAAATAATCTTTAATTTAAATCAAAATAGTCTAAATTTCTAAATAAACTATAGTTTTGTATGTTATAATATTTGAAATTAACAGGTCTCTTGACAATCTCTGCTGGAGAGGAAACCAGCGTCGCCAAGAAGACGGTATCATCGGTGGCCAATGCCGATGACATTGTTTTGCTAGAGATTGATATCAAAGATCCTGTCAAGAGGTCACCAGTTTCAAGCAGCGCCATTTATGGGGCTTCACCTAGCCAATTCGTTATTCGACACGGTGATGACTCTCAAGAGGTATGAAATAATACTGTATACATCCGTTAAATTTCAACATGATAATCGCATCGTAGAATGTTCAGTAACAAATGTTTCATCGAATATTTAACATTATTGTCGTTGGTCAACCATGACTATTGACCGCCTATCACCCACTAACGTGCTGACTAACTAGCCAT